ACCTCAACGACGGCCGCATTTCGACCTGGAAGAGGGTCGAGTGGGGCGACACCAAACAGAAGCTGGACGAGCAGATTATCGTGGACGCGGGGAAGCCGGTCGTGCCCATGGAGGGTTGAAGAACAATCATGGTCCGATATGGAGGACACAAGATCTGAGAAAGAGATGGGGAAGTTCTAGCTACATACCTCACTTGCTTTGGAGCACTCGCAACTTTGGAGCACTCGCGGCTACCGCCCACTTTGGCTATGGGAAGCGTGCCGTCTTCCATCTTATTGTGCGTCAATCAGGGCGCGGGCGGCGTTCCGTGGCGCAACGGGGTCTGAATTTGTTGGCTTTTGATTATCCTAGTACCGCCCCTATACACTATCTGGTAGCTCAGGCATATGCCATGGGCGGCGGGGCGCCTCTTCCGATCCCACCGGGCGAGAGAGTTCGGACAGACACCTCGACGAACGGCCAGACGTCATGCAGACACAGCGAAGGGCGCCTGGCCATGGACATGTAGGGAGTCTTTGAAAGTGAGTCAAGAAATTTGGCACAGTGGTAGATGGAAGGGAGGAACGGTGGGGGGGGGGGCTGATTATTTACCATTGCCACGAAAATATCATTAGGCACTTGTCCCGGATTGGAGGCGATGCACACACCAAGTTTTGTACTGCTTTGTGCAACCAAGGGACGTGCTTCACTGGGCTCTTGGCACATCAAGCAGCGTTTATTTTTTTAAACGAGAACTTTCTATTTTTGCAGCGCAAGCGGGTTCGTACTGTATGAACCTAGGAATTTTACGTTCTCGAAGGCTGCCCTTGATTCCAATGTGAAAACCTACCGAGGTTACGCAAGGATGCGAGTCAGATCCTCCATTTCGCTTGGCCTCTTGAAGCCTTCAAAGCCTTCATAAAGGCCCCCAACAGCAACACGGCAGGCCTTTCGACTACAATCCGCGCTCGCCTGCACTCCCCCCCCCCCATCGCCCAACCCATATTCCACAAGAGACGCTCTTTAATTCAACCCCATTCCCTTTCACTATCCTCTCGAATCTTTCATCTGTTGAACACCATCCAAGTGAATGATGGCTTTCTTCTCTAACCTTTCAACCGGCCTCGTGGCCGGATTACACGGCTACATCTTCATTCTCGAGTCGTTCCTCTGGACGACGCCACGTGGAAGAGCTGCCTTCAAGCTCACTCCCGAATTTGCGATGCAAACCCGCACTCTCGCCGCCAATCAAGGAGTGTACAACGGATTCCTAGCTGCGGGGCTTGTCTGGGGATTGTTGCACCCCGTCCCGGATTTTGCGAAGGAGATCAAGCTGTTCTTTCTAGGATGTGTGGGCGTTGCTGGGCTCGTAGGAGGTGTGACGTCGAGTAGACGTATAATGGGCATCCAGACGGCCCCGGCTCTGCTGGCGGCGGTCTGCACGGTGCTGGGGTGGTGAGAGGGTCGATGGCTTGGTGAGAAGGGCAAGCGAGACCTGGACTTTGGGAGCAGTGGAATCAAACCAAGTGCACTGTCCCGAACACCCATCTGCAGGTGCGGTGCCTTTCGAACAACCACATGGACAGGAGAACGACTATGTCAGTCTAACGGGTCACTTAACGAAGCTAGCACACTGTTTCAAATGAGAGATACCTCGAACATGTGCTCAACCAAGGACCAGCAACTTAGATTCAAATTGCCTCATAGTTAGCTGTCTCGCTCACTTGTCATGTCGTAAGCCCTAGGTATGGCCACGAGTCACATTATTCCTTTGCTTCGTGAAGATGTCGATGCCCTTTAGCAATGTAATTTACGACCTCCTCGCTCTCTCGGTCAAGGTATCCGGCCGGTGCTTTGATGACGAAGCCTCCGTTGGGCCCTACTTCCGCACATTCGCCAGACATGTCATTGTCCACGAAGCTCTCGAAAGCATTGACAACGTCTTGGATATCCGTCAATAAGCCTTCATGGTCTAACATGTCATAGAACAAGGTGTCATCAATCCCCGTGCGAACGACATTCGGACAAACCGCATTGAGGGTGATGCCCTCTTCCGGGAGGTATTTGCCGTAACTTCGAACGAACCCAACCACCCCATGCTTGGAGGCAGTATACACAGGTATGGTAGATGCGCAGTAAAAGCCGCAAATGGAGGCGGTTACGAGAACTATTCGGCGTCAGTGAACTTACTACACACGCGCCCCTTTGGCCGTACATCAGTTTTCGGGTTCATGATGTTCGACGTACTTTTGCCGCGGAACCCATGGTCGTCTCTCTTCTGCTTCCTCATCTGCTGGATAGCAAGACTGCTGGTAAACAGAACCCCATTCAGGTTCACATCGAGGACCGCCAAATTTGGCTTGGTGAAGCCCGTCGAGTTGGTGTCATTCGGCATCCAACTCCTGTTCTCTCCAATCCCTGCAATGGGAAATACAAGGTCGATGCGGCCGAGATCCTCCACAGCCTTGCTAAATGTCTGCTGCTGAGATTCCCAGCTGCTTACATCGACCTGGTAAGGAAGAACCAACTCGGCGTTCTTTTGGGCATTCAAGGTCGCTGCCACTGTCTTAGCTTGGTCGAGATCGAGATCCGCAATGGCAACCTGGATGCCTCTGCCCACGAGCCTCTCGGTCACTGCTCGTCCGATTCCATGCGCACCACCAGTGAGGTACGCCGTTTTGACGGGCATGTTGAGTTATGGCCAACAATGAGATGCGGCAGCTTGTTTGACAGCAGGGTACTTGTTAAGAGGGGAAATACTCGTGATTGGGTTTCAACCCCGCAAGCGGCTGGAAGAGACATACACTATCAAACACCGACCGAGATCGGGACAGTGACATAGACCCGGGAGCCATACGAACCAGGTGCTCCTTGGTACGAAAAGCGTTCAAGGTGTTGTGTTGCCAGAAACGTGAATATACAACACAGGGAACGCAGCGCCTACCGTCCACAAGAGGAACAAAGCTACCGGCTTCGTTCCTGGTCGGAAGCGAGATTCAGCCGTCGGTCGCATGAACTCAAAGGAGGCATCGTATAAGTATAGGCTCAGGCCATTCATTGTACTTGCAAGCCCACTACCACATCTTTAGTAATATGGGAGAAGTATACATTCTGAATGCATGATGATGATGATGATGATCCGATACTGTTGCAATGGATTGGGTCACCAACATTCCGCTCATCGCAACAACGCTCTACGCCAAGGGCGACGACAGCTTCCATGTCCGGCAAACTGTCCACAAGGGAGACAGTAGGGCCATACACATATTTGATTATTAGATATCAGCTACCTGGTGCATTTGATCTCTAATCACATACGCAAGCCAGGTTACCTAGGATGTAATACTTAAGTAGGCTAGGGACCTAATACTTATGTAGCAATCCGCTCAATACTTACCGAGACCTTGAAGGAGGCACAGGACTCTTGACCTCCTTCAAAAACACATAGCATGCCCTTGGCTTACGAGTCAAATGATCAAAAGCATTGTATCTCCCAACCTGGTCTGGCACTGGCAAGAAGTCGTTAGTCAACCGCAAAACGAGCATAACTCGGGTTTCCATATACGCTATCTTCTTTCTGTAGTATACGGGCCATTGATCATGGGATATATATGTCTTCGGAGATGTGGTGACATAGAGTCTAACAGTTGTGGAATGAATCGCTTTACGCGATATGACTGGAGTAAAAGCAAGTCATATTAGCTACGCATCAGAGTACGTGTCCAACGGTCATGTTATTCTAGGCTGTTATACGAGCCCTGGTGCTCGTGAGGGGACAGTACAGTGACATCGCGGAGCAAGGTCATCTAGTAACCGGTGACCATGCCTGGACTTATCACTCAAAGGCTGAACAATATAATGGTCGGCAGTTTACCGATATTCATATATATGTCCGCGAAGATAACGGGCCAGTCAATGTCTTCCAAACACGGCAGCGATACACCTTGTGTCTCTTCTGGCCCAAGTACAAAGACCATTACGTTCGAGATGGGCTTGGGAACAATCTGAAATTGGAAGATGGGCTGATTATGTTTAGTCTTTTCGCAACGTCCACCACTCGGTCATGGTCGAATGCTGCTAGTTGTGCTTGATCAAGCCCATAGCACCATCCAGAATACTAGAGGCGATGTATTTGTGACCATTAGGGGTACCGGGAATTGCATGTGAAACTGCGGCGTGGTGTAAGAAGTATGCGACAATGTACATGGCCGCAGGCGCTGCGCTTTGGGCTGGAGGACAGATGGAACATGTCGAACACATTGAGGACTCTTTTGTGAGAACGGCTGGGAAGATGAGTTTCGAGAGTTAGCTAGCAGAGAAACAATTCACCCTTTCCCTTCAGTTCAAATCCCAAAGGAAGGTCGAACACGGAAAGTCCAATGTAGGAACAGGATTCTGCTAAATGCGACTACTTGGTAATCCAAATCTTGTATGGCAAGTAACAAGTCCCACCTACCTAGGTAGTTAGCGAGAAGAATGGTAATCCAGGCAAACCAAATGTAGCCAGACCATCTCTATCATTAGAACATGGAAGGAATCCATGACATTTTATGACTATATGGAGCCCGAGTCAGAGTGTGGCTCTTTATGCTTTTGGCACATGGCTGTCCACGGTTGAAGCTACCTAGGTATGTATAGTAGCCTGGTGGCAAGATTATTTCGGCCTGGCTGAGGGCCATTGGAGATGACATAGAAATCGGGTGGGACACCAGACCTGCTTTCTATTGATAACACCACCAGACTAGTTTAGTCTATGGAAGGAGAGCCTAGAATCTTGCTACTTTATAGTATACTGCATACCTAGGTAAGCTGATTATATAGCTCACGAAGTCCGACAGAGCTTTTTTGCCAGAATTCTGGAGTTACTTCAAGATAAGTTCAGTACAGCAGTACATTGGGAAGAATTAAAGATCTAGCTCGTCCAGAGGATCGTGTAGTCTAGTCTGAACGCAAATAGCTGTAATTCTCATAGTATATAGTATGAAATTTCTGAGCGAAATTCAAGTTGGCGTCCTCGTGACGCCCGGCTAGCTCAATCGGTAGAGCGTGAGACTCTTAGTAATCTCACGATTTCTGAAATCTCAAGGTTGTGGGGTACGTTTACATGCTTCGGGTCACACATTCGAATCTTGCACTGACATTCGATATAGTTCGACCCCCACGTCGGGCTCAATTCCCGTCATTGGATCTTTTTTTTGCCTTATTTTCTTTTCCTGTTTCTTTGGGATGGTTCATGATTTTTATGCTCTAGGCGTTGTCCTCATGAATTGCGGTCGGTGATGAGAACCCTGGTTGAATTATGCATGAGGGAGCAGAGTTGTGTATGCACCGCACCCGGCAGGGACCAACACTACCCAGGTACCTACCACCTTGGCTCAGATGCTTCGGATGAATCAATAGCCCTTGCTTGTTTTATGCTGGTCCTTCGTCGTCGTGTGCTAACCTCATTGAATAATGACGACCTCAGAGGCCAGCTCGCCGCGCACGAGGCTGACTGTGCTCGTCGCATGACAACGTATACCAAGGTCAATAAAATCCTCCGACGTGGGTAAGAAGGACCATGGGGTGTTGTGATGCCCGTTCAGCTCTTCCCGCCGCAACCCTTGATTACCTACCTAGCTACCTAGGTAGTTAAGTAAGTGTGCTGGCGGACGAGGGCGTTGGTGGTGACCGTTGGCGCCACTGACATCCACGGACCACCAATATCCAATGCAAATTTAAAGCAACGTGAACAATTCCGTGCACAATTTCGCATTGGTATTACGTATTTGCTCACGGCTTCGAAAGCTATCGCGAGGTTCATTTATTCTCTGGCTTGGCAAGCTCAAGGTCTCTCTGGCCTACCACCAACCCGAAAACACACCCTGTCGGTCAAGTCGTGTTCATCTTACTCCCCCCATCGTTCTGCCGCCTAGGCACACCAACGAAATACATTTGGACCACAATGTCGATACCTGCCCCGCCCGAGATCTGGGTCGGCGTCTGCTTCCGTCTGTGGTGGATGATGTCGCACGCAGCGACCCCTCTTGCGTGTTATACTCGATACCCAAGACGAGGCGCTCTCAAGATGGCTTCCTAAATATAAGCGCTGTTTAATTTTCGCAGGCCGTGGATCGGTGTGCGTGGCATCTGCATAAACGACTCGGACCAGGCGCAAGTTTCCCCACTGTCCTATACATAGAACCACAAGATCTTGTCTATGCCATTCTAGAAGGATTTGCCCAAACCGTCAGACTCAATGATGCTAATAGATGTCCAGATATTGGCATCTATCAAGGTCGGGTACAAGCTACTGCTAAATTCTCCGAGAAATACATTGGAGGCACATGTCCATCTCGTAAAGGGGACGGGCTGCGGCACAATGCTTGTACCAGCAGGCTTCCCGCTGCCTATCATTGGGAAGATACTCGAGACTACGGGTATGCGCAGGGTAGACCTCCCGGGTGCTATACAGTGGCTGTGTGATGAGGCATCGGAGGCCTACCCGTGCCACAAAACCTACGAAGAGGCCAGACTAGAGCCGTGGGTGGTTTTGCATACGTCTGGTTCGACTGGCATGCCCAAGCCTATTGTTCAGCCCCGCGCAACTTACTCGCCGGTGGACGCTTACACTGCTCTCCCATCGCTAGGTTTGCCTCAAACTTTTCCACGGTTTCCAGTAGGCAGTCGCACATATCTCGGATTTCTCTTGTTCCATTGCGGTGGACTCTTCATACTTTTACTATTCTCGATATTTGCGGACTTTACAGTCGTCCTGGGGCCGATCCTACCGTCACCAGGGGTGATATAAGAGATAAATGACCATGGAAATCTCGAAGAAAGCCTGATACCTCCGAGCTCACTACCAGACGTGGCTAAAGATTCTATCTACATCGAAGGCCTATCTCGGCTCGACCGCATCACAACTGTGAGTTCTTTATTTCACCGTACACGTATTCTATCAGTCTACACTTTCATCCGTGTATCAAGGCTGTCTCGGCTGGCGATGCCCGCTAATGCGAGGTTCAGGGTGGTGGTCCCCTGCCGAGAGAGGTAGGTAATACGATCAGTTCCTGGACTGGACTGGCAAATATCCTGGGCAGTACAGAGGCCGGTCTAATACCACTCGAAGTCATTGACAGTGAAGACTGGGCCTACATTCGCATCGGTCCTGTCTATGGTGCCGAGTACCGCCAAGTTTCAGAAAATCTATATGAGCAGGTGATTGTCCGAAGACCCGACCTGGAGCCCTACCAAGGAGTTTTTGGGACCTTTCCTCATCTACAAGAGTGGCCTATGAAATGTATCAATAACTCAGCGCAATATAATTGGAAATCCTCTCGACATGGAAGATATCATCCAAGTCCACTCAGCTGTAAAGGGTGCCGTTATCTGCGGCACGGGACACTTCCAGTCGAGCCTTTTGGTGGAGACCGCGGAGCCATCAGCAGACAATGCAGAGAGAGAAGGGCCCCTGAAGAGATCTGGCCATTTATCGAGAAAGCCAGCGAGCAGAGTCCATCTCATGGCCACATCCAGCGTGATATGGTCCTTTTCACGACTGCCGACAGACCGATGCTTAGGGCTGGGAAGGGCACACTCCAACGTCAAGCAACGGTCCATATCTACAAAGCTGATCTTGACAACCTCTACCCGTCCAGCACGACTGAGTTGCCGGCTGAAATCAAAACCATAGAAGAGACTGTAGGCGCCTCGGACGCCGTGAAGATCATCATCAGCAATGCCACCGATACCAACCTCGACGAAGTTGCCCCATATGCCAATTTGTTCGATTTTGGGTTCGACTCCCTCCAGGTCACAAATATCACTAAGAACATCAACAAGTACTCGGCTTCCTTAGGCAAGCCACCGTCCATGAGTCCACGTCTTGTCTATGCTGGGCCTAGTCTTGCCGCAATCGCCAACGCTGCCGTTGCACTGCGCAAAGGGAACGTTTACACAGGAACGAGTGGAAAAACTGGAGTGGAGAAGATGCTCAATCTCTTCGAATCATATTCAACTCTCTGTTACTGTCAGACCTTCTCAAGGGCGACCGGAAGAGCTCATTGTTCTCCTTACTGGGTCAACTGGGTCACTTGGTTCATACATACTTGATCTTCTGGTCAGAAACAGAAGTGTCACTCAAATCTTGTGCCTTAATCGTGGGCTTGGAAGTCACGAACGTGTACAAAAGGTACAGGCTGCCAAAGGTCTTGGTGCGGTGCCGAGCAAGGTCAGCTGTATTGAAGGCGACTTGTCAAAGGATCACTTTGGCATGACGGCCAAAGATTATAAGATACTGCTTGATAGCGTCAGCGTTGTCATTGATGCAGCTTGGCTACTGAATTTCACCGCGCCCTTGGAATCCTTCATACCGTGTGTCATCTCGACACGGAAGCTGGTAGACTACTCGACGCATTCCCTCTTCGGCGCACGAGTCTTCTTATTGTCTAGCTCGAGCTCGGTAGCCAAGTACCACACCGTCTACCCCGACAGGGAAAAGGTCCCTGAGGACATCGTTGAGGACTGGCGCGTCGCGTATGATACTCCGTATGGTCAAAGCAAGTTCGTCTCGGAACGCATATTAGATGCTGCCGCAAAAGTCGCAGCCGTACCAACGGCTGTCTGCTGGGTGGGACAGATCGCCGGTCTAACGAATGGCTGTCGGTATATGGCCCAAGCATGAATGGCTTCCTAGTCTGATTGCAAGCTCCAAGTATCTGGGAAAGCTACCTAGATCACTGGGCAAATTTGAGCGAGTGGATTGGATTCCGGCCGATGTTCTCGGCAGCACTGTCGTCGAGCTTGCGTTGGCTTCTCATAATGCAGTCGAGGCGACGCAACCGCCCGGAGGAGTTGTTCATCACACAGTCAATCCCAAAGCGACAGCGTGGGCAGAATTAGTCCCAGTCGTCCTTGCAGCTCTCAGCGGAACTTGCAATGTGGAGGTTGTAGCACCAGAGGCCTGGCTCGAAGCACCGAGAGACTCGGTGTCCAAAACGGCGGATATAACTGTGAACCCTGCTTTGAAGCTTATGGAGATTTTTTGCAAATTCGAGTAATGGCTCCGCTCCTAAGTTGGACACGAAGCGTACTGCTCGCTCATCGCCGAGCCTGGCCGGCCTATCATCGGTGCAGCCGGCTTGGATGGGAAACTGGACGAGGCAGTGGAAATTGAAGTGAACTCGGGCGCTTTGGCGGTGGATACAGAAATGGCATAATGACTGCAATCTGGTGTGCGGAAGATCAGCGTGTATGTTGCATGACAGCTGCGGCAATGGTCTTCATATGAATGCCTTACTTTAATCCGATAGGAATTTGGGAGGAGTCATGGATGTGTTTGAGCCGACGTTCAGACTGAAGGAAACGAGTAAGTAGGGTATTGCTCGGGACGCTAGCAGCCACGCACTTTATAGAAGAGATTAGTCGGCCGCACGCTTGAATGATTTCTATCTACTTATAAAGCCAATAGTTGATTTTGCGATGGAACAATTATCTAGGAAATGTCTGTCATTCGTGTGACACGACGGTGAGCAGACAGACATCCCAATTAACTTCGCGAATATCAATTGATTGCAGACTTCTTACAAAACATCTCAAGGCAGGACTGAGGACCACGAACCTACGTCTCTTGCTAATCATGTGAAATCTAGAGCCCTCCATTCTGTAATATCGGCGTTGAATCGTCGTGGTCATTCACACCGTCCCGAAGTGAATCCTTAGCGCTGGCAAGTTTAACAAAGAAAAAACTGGTTTTTGGCAGTCCTTTTCACCGTTCTGAGAAGTGTTACGATGCCTCTATTTTAGATTTCTGAGACCCATTTCCATTCGGTCTCTCAACTTCTCGCATAACAGGATAAGACAGGTATCAATTGCCATTTCTCACATCGGTCTCATTCCCGGCGACTATCGCCTTCTTTTTGTGTTGGTCTTGGGAGTCGTTTTGGCCATAAGGGAGGCTGTTGAGCGGAGATGTTTTTGATGAGCCTCACATCCTACTATAGTATGTATGTACCTAGATACTGGCGACACAGCCTGGGGTTCTGCACGAGGACGGGCTGCTGACGTAACAGCATCCGACCGGGCCCTATCCCTGTCAGATGCAGGCATGGGCTGGCGCATCTGGTCCGTGCACCAAAAATTCATAGCTTCAAGTCGAGGTCTCATCATCAGTCAACTTCGCCTGACCGT